ACATTTGATAACTTTGCTCCTTTTTTTCAGTAAATCGCACTGTATGCTGTGTATACATTATATAAATCACAGTTATCTCAATTCAGAACCTTAATTCAGGTAAAATATCATGAAAAGGATCAGGATCTGGGGGAACACCTGTTCACCAGAGCGCCCCAAGAGACAACAAGGTCAAATGGTCACAAACTCCTCCAAGACCATTTCAGGCTGGAGGTAAGGAAGAACTCCTTTACTGCCCGAGCCCCCAAGGCCTAGAACAAACTGTCTCCAGAGGTGGTGCAAGCACCTACTCTAGACTCCTTTAAGAGACATTTGGACGTTTATCTTGCTGGGATTCTTTGACTGCAGCTGACTTCCTGCCCCTGGGGCAGGGGGCTGGACTCGATGATCTTCTGAGGTCCCCTCCAGCCCTAATGTCTATGAAATCTATGAAAAGAAAGATAGTAAATTCCTGCCCTCCATGAAAGGAATTAGAATTTTGCTATTGAAATCAGTGGGTGCATTTATACATGATGCTTTACTGCACAGCAGACTAATTTCCTGTGAAGTAAAGCACCAGTGTCTGCACATGTGAGACAATTAGGGCACAGTAGACTAATTTTCTGCGCTGCCGGATAGTCCTGTCAGATGCAAGTTGTATCTAGCAATGCAGTAAATTACTGTGCTTAAATGCATACATTGACAATGATACTGGGATTAGTTTACCCAGGTTCAAATTGAGCCAGAGTATGTTCAGTCACATTAATTGCATGTGTAGACATGCCCAGTGGCATCATGTTTTCACTTTGTGTGTTGGTTATTTACTGGTTGCTTTTGTTCATTTATAAGCATGTGACAGATCGTAATATTATAAGAGGGTACATCTTAACTGTAAAATTTATTTGTAGAACCCAGCGTAGCATGAGTGGCCCTTTTGCTCCAGGGCTAGAGATCACCTCCAAACTATTTGCAGTGTCCCATGATGCAAAGTTGCTGCTTAGTGGAGGACATTGGGACAATAGTATCAGAGTGACATCGCTTACAAAAGGCAAACTGATAGGACAGCATATCAGACACATGGGTAAGTTAGGTCTTAGTTTTAATTTATGAAATTAAAACTTGTATAAAAGTTTTGTAGTGAGTAGGTTTTAATGCTTTGAGCATTACAAGGCTCATTTAGGTATAAGAAATACTAGGCCAGTGTGTTTCGACAAGGCAGGGTGGACACAAAGGAATTACAAGGTATGTTGTATATAAGAATTTGCTAATTTCTTTTATTTTTACCAACTGCCTTTTGTCGGTTCAGTTAGGACTAATGGAAATACTGTACAAATATTGATAGGACCATTTCAATTAAAAACAAACTGTTGGATAGCTTAATGATGATTATATTTAATGTTTTATGTTTAATGTCTAGGCTGGAGCTGTTTTACAAAGCCCAATATACATCTTTTTCAGTTGTCAAAATTTATGCATTGCTCATGCTGTGGAGTTTGCAGTTTTGTTTCTATTTGCCCACTGCTGGCACAGTGTACAGCAGCTCATGGCTACTATATGTAAAACTAGTCTTAAATGCTGATAAAAACCTTTACCTTCCTTTTGCATTTCAACTTTTTCCTTTCCTTTGTAGATATTGTGACCTGCTTGACTATAGATTTCTGTGGGATCCATTTGATTTCTGGTTCCAGAGACACTACATGTATGATATGGCAAATAATTCAACAGGTGGGTTGCTCCTAAATACTACCAGAAGCTACCTTTTGACAGACAGCTTTCTTCCTTAGTGCTTACTTTACCACCGTACCAGTTCCGTAAATTCACAGATATAGTAGTATTCCATTAAGGCTGATCATTCATTTGCTGTCTCTGTCATGCTTTAGGGAGTCCACTACAGAGTATAAATTCAGTGATTCTATTTACGTCATACAACAACCCTGCAAGTAAGAAAATATTATTGCTATTTTACAGATAGGAAAACTGAAGAAGGTGACATGTCAAGACCCATACTGTTTGTGTCAGAGAGGATTAGAATGTGGTAGTTTCTGATTGTTAATCTACTGATCACACAATGCAGATATCCATATTTTCATTTACTCAGTGGGAAATTCTGTCTTCTCAGGAATTATCAATGAGAGCAGCAGCATCCTTTCTCCTTGACACTAAACAAGTATCTTACTTTTAATAACTGATTTGTGACTTTAAAAATGGCAAGGTTTTCAGTATGCCAACTTAAGGTACTATGCTTGCATTATATGCCCATGCGTTATACACTTAAACACAGAAAGAGACAGCAGGTTCTTATTTAAACGGTGAACCTGCAAGGGAGTAATGTAGGAAAGACTGAACATAGGTTGTAAGCTAAAGTAAAACACAGCTAAGAGCACAGGTTAACTTTGATGTACCTATAAGGTAGGAATGTACTAGTGGGTTACCATGGAACAGCTGATGCATGATAAATCTGTGCACCCTTGCTCCTTATAGTTAGAGGGTCTTGCTCCTCTGCTCAGATTGATTGCCATGTTTGGGATCAGGAAGGAATTTCACCCCATGGTCAGTCTGACTGTGGGGATTTTTGCCTTCTTTGGAGCAGGGTCATGCTCTTCTTCTGTTGATCTCTAGGGTCTATTTTAACCAACTATTCCTGTGTTTGCAATGGCAGGACATAAACACCTTTTCTCCCCCCGCTTTATCTGTGGCAAGTTAAAGTGGTCTTGATGTTTTGCAGCATTCTGTCTGGTAGTTGTACAAGAAAGATGTTTGTCCTAAAAACTTTGCAAACAGTTGACTGCAGTGATTTAGATAGGGATGATCCTCCTTGAGCATATGGTTAGACAAGATCAGCATTTCTCAACCCATGGGTTGCAACCCAAAAGTAGGTCACAAGAAAGTTTCAGAGGGTTGCAACTCACGGATTGAGAAATGCTAGTCCCGGGAAAGCGCAGAGACTGTGGCAGGGCAGAGTGGCGGGGGAAGGGGGCAGGGGAGAGCTGTGAGGCATAGCTGGATGCTTATGAGGGCAGGGTGGCTGGGAGACGCTGCACAGTGGGTGGAATGAGATGTGATCTGGCTGCCTGGTGCAGCATGGCAGCCCCAGGGGCTGCCACAGTCCTCCCCTCCTCCTTCCTCCAGCTTGCTGCACTATCATCTGCATAAGCTGGAACTGCCACAGCCACCATGCTGCGGCCTGAGCAGGATGGGGGCAGCTGGGGGCCCCTTCGGCAGGGATGGGTGGGGCAAGGAGCTGCAGGTTGGGAGTGAGGGGCACTGGCAGGGCTAAGGGGACAGGAGGCTGCAGGTTGGGAGTGAGGGGCGCTGTCAGGGCTGGGGAGGGGCAGGGGCTGTGGGACAGGAGCGAGGGGAACCAGCAGGGGTAAGGGAAGAGGGGGCTGCAGGTTGGAAGTAAAGGGCACCAGTAGAGGGGGCAGGGGCTGCGGGTCAGGAGTGACAGGCCCAAGCATGGGCAGTGGGGTGGGGACTGTGGGTGGTGCACTGGCAGGGCCAGCAGGGTATAGGTCCGGACAGGCCATGAACCTTTGGACGTGGGTCCTGGTAGGAAAAAGGTTGAGAACCACTGGACTAGATGACCTACTGATATCCTTTCCAGCCCTGCTTCTATGGTTCTATGATAACCAGACAGTCTTGACAGATGAGTGAATTGAAAAATGAATCCTGTTCTTTCTGAGCAGGATTTCTCACGTGTGATATATGCTGTACATTGTAAGAACATTGTTTGCAGTTTTCAGGAGCAAAGTGTTTTGTGTCAAAGTTGCCAAGGCCAGAAAGGAAAAGATTAAGTTCTCACTTAAAGAAATCTTTATTCCTAGAGCTGAATAAAATGAGCAATTTCTGTTCCATAGGAAATCCCAAACTTTCAAGTTATTTTTGTCCGAAATTGGGTTACAACATTGAAATTACAAATTATTTTGTGAAATCAGAACTCTGTAAAAATTTAGTTCAGAAATGGTAACATTTTTAAAATTAAAATGAAACACTTTAAAGTTCCTGAAATCAAAATATTTAATGTCAATTCACTATACTGAACTGTATCTTCCCTGAGTGGTGCATAGGAGATGGTGGGCATCTTCCCCTCACTACATCGCCCAGCCCATTCCCAAGGCTTAATACTCTAATTCTCCTGTATTGGCGGGCTCCTTCCCTGCCTGTACTAGATATCTGATAATGCACCCAGAGTCATGTGAATCCCTAAGGCAGGGGTGGGCAATTTTGGGGGCCTGAGGGCCACAAAGGGAGTTTTGGTGAGCTGTTGCAGGCTGGGTCAGCACCACCCTCACCTCACCCTGCACAACAACTCAACAAAACTCCCCAAGTTGTTCAGCTGGGCAGCTGAGATGGGGCTGTGGGGGGACAGGGAGTGGCACCTGGGAACAAGACAGGCAGGCAGGGATGGGGTTGGGATCATGGGGTGATAAGTGTGGGGCTGGTTGTGCAGGCAAGGGCATGCGGGGAGCAGATTGCAGCTCCAGCCCCACACTTTTACCACCCCGCAGTATTCATGGAGACTGGCCCAGACCCACAAGGGCAGGGGCAGGAAATGGAAGCCAATGGCAGGAAGGGGAGCCTGGAGACACCAGCTGCTGCTGCCACTAGAGCAATAGGAGGAACAGTGGTTGGGTGGGAGCCCAGTGACTGCAAATTAACCCTTCACAGACTGCATGCAGTCCACAGGCCATTGGTTAGACAGCTGTGATTCAGTCATTTGAGGTACAAACAGAGCTGCTAATTTAGTAGAAAGAAAATGAGAACACAGTGCTACATCAGCTGTGTTGAAGATACCTAGTATGTGTCCCTCAGCTATAAGAGAATCTATAATTGTATTATTTATGCTTGTATCAGGGAGGAGTTCCTATAGGCCTGGCATCTAAACCCTTACAGATTCTCTATGGACATACAGATGAGGTACTGAGTGTTGGCATCAGCACTGAACTGGATGTGGTGGTGTCAGGAGGCAGGGTAAGTTGCTTCAGGTTTTTTTATTTTTTTGGAAGTAATGATTTTTATTATTGGGATCAGTGTGATGCCAAAAAATGTTGCTCTTCCCTGATTTTTTTTTTTTTTTTCTTTTAACCTTTTGTATAAAGAAGAAATTGCGTATTGTGTCAGCATGTTGCTGCTTCATTCTGGTAATTTCAAACTGTGCTGCCTGCAGTGTAACGACCTTATGTAAAGTCTGTGTGCTGCCTACAGTGTAACAACAAATAATGATCTTACATAAGTACTGCTATAAAGAAATGGATCCTAAGTTTTTTATTTTTACAGGATGGCACTGTGATTATCCATACTGTTCGCAAGGGTCAATACATGAGAACCCTGCGACCACCTTGTGAGAGTTCCCTCCTCCTGACTGTTCCCAACCTGGCAGTGTCCTGGGAAGGACACATAGTTGTCCACACCAGTATAGAAGGAAAGACCACTCTCAAGGTACTTAGCAAGTTACAACCCAAAGTTATAGAATGTTTTTGCTATTTTCTTTTAAGCATTCTACATAAATGTGCCTGTGGTTCTTGCAGCAGAGCCTCATGCAAGCTGTCCTGTACGTTTTCTCAGCCCTAACCTAGAGAGACCAGTAGTTTTAGGATTCGCAGTATAATGCATTCTCATTGCTTATTCAGTATTTGTGTGTAGTCTACCTTCTGTGACTAAAACTAGGGAGGCCTGCTGTGGTGATGGCTTCTATAATTATACCAGGGATTGGAAAGGGGCTTCTGACTAATAATAATAGTCTGAGTACATTAGCCTTCAGAATACATTGAACAGCCCATTTCTTCTCCTTGTTCTGTGGGGAGCCTGAAGTATTTGGGTTATGGCAGAGTAGAAGGATTCTGTTTGTAACAAACTTCAGGACCCTGAAGTTTGTAATCCTGCTAGTGAGCTGATGGTATAACTAGTAAATTTCTAATCCAGTCAGTCCTCCAGGACAAATTTCTCCTTAATCTCCTCAGGATAAGAATGCATTACATCTCTATTCTGTGAATGGGAAGTATTTGGGCTCAGAAAGTCTAAAGGAGGAGCTATCAGACATGTGTGTGACTGGCGAGTACATTGTGACTGGCAGCCTACAGGGATTCCTCTCCATCCGAGATCTCTACAGGTAATGGGCTGGTGACTGCATGGGATCACTGAGATGCCAGTACAGTGGCTTAATTAAAATGACATGGCCTAGGGGACAGACATTCAAAAAGCCTTAGCTTGAATTGATTCAGTCTTTGCAGGTTAGTCTAACCTGACTAAGCTAAGCTAGTTTGTAACTGTACAGACATCCCAGAAATGCAGGGACATGGCTGCACTGGCTCAGGCTAGAAGCCAGGAGGGCGCTAGAGCAGCCCTCCCTTCTCTTTTATAGTGCTGAGCCAGGGAGGTGTGGCCAGAAGCATGCTCTGATTAGGGAGAGGTGTCGTGTCCCCCCACCCCACCCCCCCAGCTCAGCCCAGCAGGGAATTGATAAGTGTTTATCACCCCATTAGGAAACAACAGAGGCACATTACCAACTACCTGTTGATTCTGCCTTTGTCCCATTTTCCACAGCATGGACTATAGCCAGCATGAGGTATGCTAGCTAATGCTGAGAACAGTCAGTAAGGCAGAGGGGATAGGGGAAATTCCTGTTTATTGGGAAGGGTGGGGGAGCAATGGGAAGCCAGGCAGATGCCTGCAGTCTGTGCTGGAGCAGAGCCCTGCCCCGCCCAGCCCAAAGAGCATGCCGGGATGGTGGGAGATTCTGGTTTAACTTAACCAGCAGAGGGTCTGGGGCAGACATTGCACAAACCTGTTTGACACAGATCATAGATTCATAGAAGTAGGGTCGGAAGGGACCTTGTAGATCATCAGGTCAGCCCCCTGCCCCCGCCTGGGCAGGAGAGAAAACCGGGCTCAAATGACCCCAGCAAGGTAGACATCAAGCCTCCCCTGAAAGACCCCCAGGGTAGGAGCCAGTACCACTTCCCTTGGAAGCTGGTTCCAGATCCTAGTCGCCCTGACTGTGAAGTAGTGCCTACGGATGTCTAGTCTAAACCTACTCTCTAAGTTTTTCATTGTTACCCCGGGGGGCACTAGGGAGAACAAGGTCTCTTCCAAACCCTGCCGGTCCCCCCTAGTGAGTTTATAGATGGCCACCAGGTCCCCCCTCAGCCTTCTCTTGCGGAGGCTGAACAGGTTAAGGTCCCGTAGCCTCTCTTTGTAGGGCCTGCCTTGCTGTCCCCGGATCATGTGGGTGGTCCTCCTCTGGACCCTCTCAATGCTTTCCACATCTCTCCTGAAGTGCAGCACCCAGAACTGAACGCAGTACTCCAGCTGCGGCCTGACCAGTGTCGCATAGAGGGGGAGAATCACCTCCTTGGTCCTGCTTGAAATGCATCTGTGGATGCATGACAAAGTATGGTTAGCCCTACTGACCGTGTTCTCACATTGTTGGCCCATGTTCATCTTGGAGTCAGTAATGACTCCAAGATCTTTTTCTGCCACGATGCTCTCGAGAAGGGAGTTCCCCAGCTTATAAGTGTGCTGCTGGTTCCTGCTGCCCAAGTGCAGCACCCTGCACTTGTCAGTATTGAAATGCATCCTATTTTCATTAGCCCACCCCCGTAACCTGTCCAGGTCCTGCTGTAATCTGTCCTTCCCTACTAGCGTGCCCACCTCACCCCAAATCTTGGTATCATCAGCAAATTTAAATAGGCTGATTTTCAGTTAAGTCTGATACTACATTCAACCAGGTTTATCTCAAACTGGTTCCAGCCATTTTTAAACTGGTTTATGTGCACTGAACATCTGTTCTGTTACAGGTTTAAACCAATTTCTAACCACTTAAATAGGTTTATGTGTAATGTCTGTCCCTAGCCTTAGAGAGCATGGCACGTTGCTCCTTTGTTATTGGGCTGTTACTTGAAATGGGAAAATCCATTTGTATAAAAAATTAAAAATGCAACCCGAACCTTGGGCTTTATGGTCCTGTTTGGATTTTTCTGGATTTGGAGTCCGACAGACCTATTAGTCACCTGGGAAGTTCCGCCTATCATTTATTATTTGCATTAGTGTGGCACTGAGGAGTTGTGTACAAGGAAAGACTCTCATTTTGCTAAGCGCTGTATAGACATAGAACAGAAATACATTTCTTGCTCTGTTAGTATTTTAGAAGGGACAGGATTGGACAGCAGACTGGGGACTCAGTCCTGTTAAGTGTTAGTCCTTGATTTTTTACTCTGAGTTGATGGGAGTTGAGGGCTTAGCACCTTGCAGGACCAATCCCATGGCATGCAGTTGTGATTTTGGTTTAAAATGCTGTCTTCCCCTCTCTATAGAAACCGTTAGCCATTGTCTGCAATAAGAGGCAATTGCAAGATTGTCTGCGTTGTTTGCTTTCCTTTAGTAAATTATTTAGTAAATTACTAACCTGTTGTTAAAGTGCTCCTCTAGAGATGAGACATGACCTCTGAGTGGAGGTTCACTGTGCCTGGAATTATAGTGCATTTAAACAAATTGGGCCTCAGTGACACTCTAGTTTATGCATCTGAGCTCACTCTATGCGAGTTCAGCTTTATTGTGGTTCTACCTATTATGCATAATGTATAGCAGTTAAATATTTTATGTATTTTTCTGTGTTTTTTTTGTTCATTTCAGCCTGAATCTCAGCATCTCCCCCTTAGCCATGAGACTGCCAATTCACTGCATTTCAGTTACCAAAGAATACAGCCACATCCTTGTGGGCTTGGAGGATGGAAAATTGATTATCATTGGTGTTGGCAAGCCAGCTGAGGTAAAACCCACCATCAAGAACTTTTTCTATCGCACAGTGGGCACTTCCCTTATTTCTGCTTTCCAGTTGAGCAAGAAGTCTCCTCTGTGGCAGGGCAAATTTAAGAGCAGGTTTCAATGGGGAATAAATAATTGTTGAGATGACACTATTTATAGAGATTCTTCGGTAAGAAGCAAGAGTGTATAGGGAATGCTAATGGGAAAAGTCAGAATCAGTTGGATCTACAGACTTTCATTACTGACATCCGAATAAGAAAGAGGTTAGAAATAAGTAACGTTTTGGAATGTGCTAATTTGTAAGCCTCTTCTTGGTGAAGTAATATCCTTGAAGAAAATTGGAAGCAAAAATGAATGAGCTATTTAAGTTTTGTGTATGCCAGATACGCTTTGCTGTATACTGACTTCCTTTTTAAATATTGCAATTCTTCACTGTTCAGAATCTCTAATGGTAAATGTACAGAGAGAGCCTGTGTAGTCTCCTGACGTGCTCTGTACTTTCTGTATGGTGGATGTGCGTTTGCCAGTACTGCATACGTAATATCAAATACAGAGCATCTATCTATAGCTATATCTACTTAGTCATGTGTAAAGCAGAGGTCTTGCTGTTGGTACTTCTTGTAACAACTCTGTCAAAGTACTTCAGTTGTATTATGAATAGAAGCAGGTTTTCTGAATCTCTGAAACACTGCAGTAAATTTTAACTGAAACTGTTGGTATTCCTAGTTATAATCAGAGCAAATTTTAAATTAAAGAAACCTTGTGACTTTTGGATTCATGCTAAAGTATAAATTAAATTAATTTAATTAAGTGTTAGAAATATTTCTAGTTAGGGGATTATAGTGTTCATTTTCCTGAAACAGACTGCTTAGGCTTGTGATAAAGTGAGAGCCAGATTCTGCTTCAGTTAAAATCAGTGATGAAACTTCCACTGACTTTTGAATTAGACAACTTTTTCTATTATAGAATTCATTAATAGCTGCTGGTGTTATAATTAGCATGCCTTTATGATAGCCATTTAGACAATCACCAGCTTTTAAACAATTTTTCCAGTCTTAAGAAAGCTCTTTGTTAAGCTGGAATTTGGGTAGTTAATTGGATTGGATTTACATTTAGAACAGTGAATTTTATCACACCTGACTTCCACTGTGCATTTTTTTACAGAACTGGTTCCTCCTATAGGTGGGGAGGCTTTTCTATATTTTTTCCAAATTATGATTCAACTTATTTGCAGGATTAATATCATGTAAGCAGATTTTTTTTAAAAAATGTGTTGGGGACAACACATTTCTCCTGCATTTCCCCATTTCTAAAATATATGTAAATCAGTTTATTGTGCCCGAAAGATTTTTTTTTTTTTCCATTTAGCATTTGATGGGCTTTTTAAACAAAGTGCTAGACTGGGAGACACAAACTCATTCATAGCACTTAAGTATCAGAAACTTTTTCAACCTTGTGCAGTCAAGGGATGTTTTATTTAACCATATGGGATCTCCAGAATAGAATTGTCACTAGCTAATCTCAGCTCTGGGAGCTGAGTAGTTAGTTAATTTTCTTTTACAAAATACCATTTGATTTTCAAATAAAACACAAATTCAAATTAACATTGCCTTTAGCTGCTTGTTACTTGTCTTTCCTTATGGAATAGTAACTGTAGATTATACTTTTTTAATGGTTGAGCACTTCAACTCTATCTCAGTGTTGCCACAGGAACTCCTCTCTTCCCCTGCACAATCAGCCATTACTTGAAGGACATTGTCAAGTATTCTTTTTTTAAATGCCTTTTACTCTTCAGTTCTAATAATTCTCTTTTGAAATAGAATGCACTTTTCATGAACTTGAACATTTTTTTTTATTTAGAATTGACTTTTACTCTTTAGTAGTAAATTAGATTCCATACATAGACAGTTTCCCACAAAATCAGAACATTTTTAAGGTGCATTAAATACTGGATTTAAATTGCTTGACAATGTCTCTCAATTATCCACAAGTGGAAAAGACAGTGATCAGTGTTTATCTTTGTTTTGTGTCAGTCCCCAGAATCATCCCAAATTTTTAATGTTGTTGTTCTAATTTTGTGTTTATGCAGTGCCTTTTGTTGTCTGGTCTTCTCCAGAATTGGTGTCTGAAGTTCCTTTTTAATTTATCCACCTTATCCCTTCCCCCTCCTTTTGTTTCTCTGGATTACTTTGAACAGATGCGCTCAGGTCAGCTTTCCCGAAAGTTGTGGGGATCAAGCAAACGGCTCAGCCAGATTTCATCAGGAGAGACTGAATATAACACTCAAGATTCCAAGTGATTGCTGCTTCTGTCTTCTCTCATGGATCCCAGAAACTTAAAAAAAAAAATTTAGGTCACTTTATGCATATCTCTCAACTTCCTAATGAGTGTTTCAGGGATTTTTGATCCTTGATAGTCAGTTAACGAACAAGCTGTGGTAGAGGTACAATAATTTGCTTATCTATATACATGCAAATTCACCTACAACATCTTGCATAATTTTCTTTCTTTATCATTTTGATTTGGTAACAGAAAGAGTCTCTAGAAATTTTTTTTCAGAAAACCACCTCTAATTGGATATAAAAGACAGATGACATCAGATACTGGTGATAAATGCCAGATGCTCTCCACTTGCTTGGAAAATATTAACTAACATGGAAGGAAAATCTTTGGTCTTACTTTGGCTTTGTAATTTCAGGATAGTGAAGTTAAAGTTCCTTCAATTACACATGTTCTAACAAAATTGGGACAGTTGAGAGTGTATGACTTTGAATATGCTCCTTAGACCAATAGCCTTGCAGTTTATTGCTGTAAATTTATTATTATCTTCTATTGTGTGCCTCCTGAAGAAATCCATTTTAAACATTTCTGTAAGGAGCACCTTTATTGCACTACTTGATTTTCAGCAATTGCTCAATTATAGAAATGAATGATAATCTCATAGGAACTGGGAAGTATTTTCTTCATAACACTTATACTGGTCAGCACAGCTTTTTCTTGTGAATTTTGGCATTTTCAGAAAGTACGTGTTAATGAAAAGTGTTGCAGTAGTTACTGTTGGGAAAGCCTGATTTTTAGGGAAACGGCTTAATGTTTGTTAGGCAGGGAAGAGGTGAGTGCATGTGTGAGACCTCAGAAATATCATTCCTGTACATCTTTTCAGAAAGGAGGAGGGATAGTTTAGTTTAAAAGGAAGATGCAAAATTGACTCTTTAGTTATTTTCTTTTCTCAGAGAACCTTGCTTCAGCTCCTGCCACGGCTTTCCTTCTTTTATTTATGGGAATGCATTTGCATCTCTTCTAAATATTGTCAGCTTTCCCTCCATGAGTGGGGAGTTGTTGAGTCACCTGAGGGGTCCTATGATGTTATAATTTCATTTAATTAATTTTTAGTACTGTGTTTGTTGTTATAAATGCAAAGTAGCAGCAATCCTTTTTCCACCAAGGAGGATATTTAGAAGACACATTGGTCTCCTTAAGTGTGCAACGTCTTATTCTTAATTTCTTAAAGCAAGTAAAGGTCTTATCTTGCTTTTAAAGACTTTTTAATGATCTTATTATGGAATATTCTAACACTAATTTTATATTGTTCTGCTTAACCTTTAGTGAAGGGAGTAAGAAGAAAGCTGAACATTATGGATTCTGTAGTTTTAACCCATACATAACTAACTAGTGTAGCAGATCAAATCATCTGGAAAGTTCTGGGAAACATTTCTTTGGGGCACTTAACAGTTCAGTTCTTAATTCCTAAAAATAATTTAAAGTAGCGTGTTTTGCATATGGTTAGACAATTTAGAAATTTATGTTGTAACTTTTTTAGAAGGGGGAGGTTTATCAGTCACTCTAACCTATGCACATACCCACCAGTATGTTTTGAAATGAGCTATAGATGTAAAGAAAGTCTAAATGAAAAATGTTAATATAGATTAATCTAGTCACTGATTCAGCAACAATGCCAAGGATACTCTGGAAGTATTAAGCACGTATGTGAATGTGAAATAGGTTTGTCTTTGTAATTTTTATGAACAAGGGATTTTTGAAGAGTTATTTAGACAGAGAAGTATAAAAGAATCACAGTTTTGTATGTGTGATTTATTGTCAACTGGGGTCGTGTGTTCAAAAAAAATCTTGTTTTGGGGCATTGTGTTGATGTTTTTTCTAAATGTATATTTAAGAGGTTAAATATGTATATTTGGATTAAAAAATAGAAAGGCTAATTCAGAATAGCAGAAACAAAATGGAAAAATGAAGTCATTGGTTTGTATGATGCTTAGCCAGAAAACAAGTCTTCATTGTCATTTGTGTAAAGGGGGTGTGCATGTGGGTTTGATACATCTGTGTTTGTTTGAGGCATGTTATTTATAAATTACAATTTTTGAGTTGATACCAGATTTTTAGCATTTTAACCAAACAAATGGGGAAATTAGATCAAGTTAAAAAAATAACATAGATATGCAAACCCAGATGCAGGCATGTATATCATAACGATAATTTAAATACAGAACACTAATTAATTGATTGTGGTGCTTCACAAGCATTTCTTAACTTGCAAACATTAGCTATCAGTATAAATTAAAGCAGCTCTCAGACTGCTGCAGCTTGCTAGATGGCCAACCCTGTACAAAGCAGCAGGAGGATAACAGGATTCCAAAGGTGAGCTTAAGCCACTTTTGCATATACCAGTGACAAGTACTTTGTATAGATTGGCCATAGCTGAGGATCTGGCCCCTTGAAAATAGGGGGTGATTATGAATACAAATTTGTCTGTTCTTATCATGCCCCACCAGCAGCTGGATTTCTCAGCCTCTGACCGGTGTCTGTCTGGAAGCATTATGCTTTTGTCTTAAGCAGTCAACACCTTCCCTAAAATTTGGCTGTTAATAAAGATGTGGTGTATGACTCTAGTTCAGGCTTTAGCTGATATTTAATTTATTTTCTTGTATTTTTTTCTAGATTTAAGTAGAACACTACTTTTCCCCTTTGTTGCATTGTGGCTGATTTGCTGCCTGGACTAAATGGTGGATAGTGGATTAGTGAACTGCACTTTTTTCCTTTGGTTTCTCAGATTTTTTTCACTCTTGAATAGCGTTTTCAGATTCTACCAGATAGACTTTTTGGGGTATAGCAGACATGTCAGGACTCAGATTCTCCTTAGCTTTTTTTCTGAGATTTATTTATTTAATTTTAGGAAGAGTAATGCTGTCGTGAAGCAATTCTGACCTGTAATTCAGATCAGACATACCTGAATGCACAGCTGTTTCATAACACTAAGAACAGTTCCAAACCCTTTTTTGTCTTTTTTTTTTTTTAATTCTTTGGAAACCATGGTTATATCTATAGAAGTCTAAAAAATATTATGCTTACGTATGAAGTGGACTTGAAATTAGCAATATAAAGATACATATTTAAACAAAGTGGAAATTTGTCTTATTTATTCTTAACAATTTATAAATGGAATCAAGCAATTGGTGATATTTTATCTATAACTTTTATTTAACATAGTCTGAACTTACTTACAAAAGTACGGTGCTTAGAAAAAAATTCCGTTTATTTCTAATACAGTACAGTGCATTTGTTAAACTTCTCTCTCATTATCAATTTGTTATAAGTCTTGGTGGTGGTAATTTTTGTGTGTTACTCTTATGTACTGTGGAGAATCTGTCATCTGGTCATCTTAAGTGTGTGTTTGGAAGATGACAGCATTCAGAGTTAAACCCTCAGTGTCAAAGCTAAGATATGCGTGGGTTATGATGTCAGAGTATTGTTCATTTTCAGTGTATAATCCTCATTTTGTGCAACACTTAAGAACTTTATCCCTTTCATTATTCACCTATATTTCCATCACCAGCACCAAAAAATATCCCATTTTAAACTCTTATTTCTCTTCGCATGTAAAATGTTTTGCAAAGGGAAGTGCTTAGAAGCCCATTTAATTCACGAAGTATCTTAAATATTTCTTTCTGTAGTTGTCTAGACATTCACTTAAACCTTTTTATCATGGCCTACTTAGGTAAAAACACTAAAAATAGTTATTTCAAAACTGACTTTTTTTTAATTGCACAAGGGGTATTAAGAATTGACTATTTTTGTAAGGAGCCTCTTTTGGAAGCTAGATTTTGTCTTAAAATAGAGTGCAGAGAGTTGAAACAAAAATGTCCCTACTGTGAAATATCAGTCTTTGAAGGAACAGGCAATAACCTCTGATTTCATTTGTTTTAAGGTGGTTCTGTTGAAACTTTGATTTTTTTTTTTTCAAATGCACAAAAGGAAGTTAGGTGTGTGACTTCTGCTGGAAGTTAATGGGAGCTCATTAGTTGACTCCCTTAGACTCCTAAGAATATCCCTCCCATTGAATGTATATGTCCTTACTTGAGATTGCAAGAAGTAAAATTGTACCTATCGTTCAACTGAAGATTTTTTTTATTGTGTAGATTTTTTTAGTTTAAGTAGTATATGTATATATGACAACAATACTGTAGAGAGCTTTAGGGATTAGGTTACATTTTATTTTTCAGGGACTCTTAAAAATTCTGGGGTTTTTTTACTATTAAATATACTACTTTATGAACATAAGGCCGGATCTGATCAATACGGTCAGGTAAAGGCTCTAATTTTTAGAAGGCATTTAAGGATGTGTATAATTTTAGTGGGAATTAAACATGTACTTAAGTGCTGCCTTCACTAGGTATGACTTTTTTTGAACCAGTCGATAGTGCTTATTACTGTGACACCAACTTAGCTGTTTATGGTTATAAATGCTATACGTGCTAGTGTTCATGTGATTGGGCATGCAGATTCTGTAAACATAAATCTAAACGGTCTAAATCAGGCATCTTGAACAAATATATAATCTCAGATTTGATTAACAGAAGGTACTAAGTACACTAAAATAATTCAAAATAACCTGCACAAGATGAGTTAAAAGGGGAGTGAAGAAATTTGTGAGAGTTGGTGTCCAGATAATTTGTACTTCAAAATACTGCTGTGCAGTAATAGTGCGAACTGGGCTGTTCTTAACACTACAGCATTCTTTTTGAAAAGGCAGTTTCAGGCGGCTATGCAGTGTAACACTTTACAGATGAAGATTGAGCAAATACCAGTTGCTGATAAGGGGTTTGAGGGATGGGTTTTATGGGTTTGTATGTTTAGCTTTAAATTCACCTACAGTCTGAGGCTCATGAGTTGTGTTCACTATTACATGAAGTTCTCCCTTCTTTTTGATGGTAGTGGTTGCTCAGTAACTGCTTGTGTGCCTATGGGGCAACTGTGTGGCCACATCTGACTCCAGTGGAGGTGGGGAAGGGACCTCCCTTCTTCCATTGTGAGGGACCAAATTAAAATTGCTGCATTTCTCACCTCCTCTAACAAAACTTATAAGTGCACACTCCAAATATGGGGAGCATTGTCCCTTGGAAAGCAAGTATGCTGTGTATTGTTGCAAACTATGGTTGTCCCCCAAACCAAGCACATTTCCTTCTAAGCACCTGATAGACCTCAGGAGATGAGAGTATGGAAATGCCAGTTGGACCCATTAACTGACAGCGCAGAATTTCAGCTTAAATGGGGAGAGTGCTTTGTGCAGTTTAAATTTTAATGAATCAGGGGTCAGTGTTTCCACTTACTATTATGGAAAATTATTCCACAGTCTGAACCTTGTGGTTGTGGAATTATTTCTGATACTTAATTTAAAGTTTTATTTATTCAATTTCATCTCATCTCTCCTGGTTGTACCCCCTTGAAATAGTGGAGACCTTTTCTCTTTGTTTTGGCATAAGTTGTTCAGAGATGGTATTTTATCACCATTTAGGCAAGCTGCTCATGTATATTTCAGTCTCTCTTCATAATCCAGTTCCTCCAGCTCTGTTAGTCATTGCTGCTTCTCTTAAACATTTCTGGAGCTCAGATGTTATGTTCTGGTTGTAGCACTACTTCTAGCATTATAGAAAGATATTGCCTTCCTGATGCCAGGAAGTCTTATTGGCTCTTAGTACTGCAATTCCATACCTTATCTGCTATCCACTATTACTTGCCAGGCAGTATGACAAAAGAGAGGGTAGTCTTCTGCTCCATTACTCTGTAGTATTTAAGATAATATACACTGTGCAGCTTCCATTTTTAAACTAAGAAACTATTACAGCAAAAATGCAACATGAAATATCCAACATCTGCTAGGCAGGGGGTGGAGAGCAGGCAGGGTGGTCAGAAGCCAATCTTATATGTAACTGTGGTATCTAAATGACTTCCTATATTATTATTATTATTATTTTTTTTTTTT